CAACCAACTCAGAGAGCAATGGTTAAGTCTCCTCTCAGAAAGAATAGCCCATTTCCGGGTCTCCAAAAGGTTCCTTCTTCAGATAACATACAAGGGAAGTGGCCTGGAACTAATCAGGCTACCAGTAAGTGAGGTTTGAGGAAGCTGGGGGGAAAGATTCAAATGAGCAAGACAGGAAACCCTTGTAGAAGTCCTCACACTCCTGCGTGGAAATGGACAGAGACTCCTCACCTGTCATCTGCAGGCCAACGTGCAACTTCAAACAAGGACGAAACACATGGAGGGGAACCCCCTCCACATACACACACAATAAGCTAATAATAAAATGCCCCTCTCTCAGACTCCCTTACCTATTTCAGAATGTTTTTATGACCATCTAGAAATTGGTATCTCAGACGCAAACCTACAAACTCCGACCTGACAGACATATAGGGAAACCACTCGAGTGCTCTTAGAAGAATGTGCACACATAGTTCTCTCACTCCTAGACCGGAATTCACACCCCTTGTCTCTGTGCTGTTTGAACAGGCAGAGTGGTGTTTGGTTTTGCCTGCTTCTTCTTCCTAGGCTCGCTCTAAGTGGTATTCTAAGCAGTTATTCTGATAAAGGATTGGAAAAACACCGAAGCTTCGGGACACGTTTATTCCTGCCATCCTCAAAAGCAGGGCAGTATGTTGCCTTCCTAAACTGGCTTCTGGTAGCTTCCTCTCCTCCCAAACACCACAGAGCAGAAGCTGAGCCTCATCTGAAGCAACCCACCATTTCTTTCCTCTAAGTGCTGTGCCAGAGGGGAACATTCCCTGTGACCTTGTACTTAGCTAACTTCTGGTGTCATGCAGCACTTCCAGTCCAGCGCCACGCCAGGAATAAAAAGGAACGCAAATGTCAATGAAATGACAAGGCTGTAAGAGATAAAAACATCGCCATCGGTAGACAGTCGCGTGTAGGCTGCTCACGGACAAGAAACCACAAACTACTCAGTTGGAAAAGAGGAGGAAACACGTCGGGTAGAATTTTGCTTTGTAAGTATCCTAAAACCCCCAGGCTCACTAATAGTCAAACTGTAATATGATGTCCTTAAATGCTTTCCCTACCCACATTTGTATCACACAAGTCACAGACATTTAGCATCTATCCCTACACTGCAGTGGGTAAGACTGTGACTCTCCAATGTCTACACAAAAAGCCAACCATGGCCATGAGAAGATATGTAACCTCAAAGCCGTGGCAGGGCATGGAGACAGGAGGACCGCTTGAGCTTGCTAGCTGTCAGTGCCCATATTGCCTGGCTTCTATTAGCCTGTAATTCCAGATGTGGGGAATCTGATATCCTCTTCTGGCCTCTGAGGGTATTCTCAATCATATACATATGTATAATTAAAAATAAGAACATCTTAAGAGTTATTAGATTTATTCACTTCTGCGTGTATTGTATATATCTGGGTATACACATGTCATGTCGAGTATGGGGAGATCAGAGGACGATTTGAAGGAGTTGGTTCCCTCCTTTGATCATGTGGGGCTGGGGGATTGAATATATGTTGCTGGAATTGTTGTGAGGACCTTTATCTGCTAAGCCAGTGGTTCTCAGCCTTACTAAGGTGGTGAGGCTTTAATACTGTTCCTCATGCTGTGGTGACCCTCCCCAACCATAAAATTAGTTTCATTGCTACTTCATAACTGTAATGTTGCTACTGGCATGAATCAAAGTGTAAATACCTGTGCTTTCTAGTGGTCTTAGGTGACCCCCGTTACAGGGTTGGTTGATCCCCCAAAGGGACCAGGACCCCCAGGTTGAGAACTGCTGTGCTAAGCCATCTTGACATTAGAAGACTACATTCAGTGCATTAAACCAAAAACACCTGAAAACTAGGTTGTAGCAAATCGCTGGTTTTTAAGGAGTTAATGAGGGAAAAGGAAGATCTGATCTGTTTCATAGCAGAGCAACGTCCTGGTGACACTCAACACAAAAGCTACAACTACAGAGGTCATCGACCTCTATTTGTCTTGTTGTCCATCTTGAAATGTGTCACCGGGGTGCTGAGACCCAGGTTACATGGCCACTTGCCATGTCGAACACAAAATGCAGGTCTCCTGACTCTTCCTTCAGCTTCCAGTGCCTTCCCCTTCCTGTGCAAGGCTTGATGGCTCTCAGCTCTCTGAGAGCCAGGTGGAGACACCTTCATGGGGTAAAGGCCAACTGTTAGGAAGAGCGTGACAGAAGGGAGCGGCTGTTAATGAGACAGGCAGAGGAGTAAACGCACTGAGGCGTAGTCCGCAGGAGTTGATGAGGCCGGGCCGCTTTGCCAGTGATGCTGTGACTATTGCTCACACCTTGCAACGCCCACACTCAAGCCCATTTGCGTGCAAATACACATTCCCTGGCCATTCCCGTTTGTAACGCCCTTCCGAGGCACAGGCCTTAAGGCTCTCAGAGTGTGAGGACTAGTTGAAAATAGAAGCTGAGGGTTAGAAGGTGGAGCAAGGTTAGGAGAGGTTACCAATACCATATTTACTAACGGTCAGCCTCGCTCTCCATTCAAGGGTTGAAGAGAAAGTTCTCAGCACGCCTGAGGAGGTCACTGGAATTTCACTTTTTCTTCCTCTCAGCTCACTCTATTTACGGAGGGATTTTTCAAGTGCCTTAAACTTGGCCATGTGGTGTCTCCAAATTTACACTTCAGGACCTTTGAGAACTTCACGTAATGCCCGAGGTCTGATATAAGCCCTTCAGGGCGACAGTATAAAAGGCAAACCCACCATGATAGTCAGAAAGCTGGCCTGGACCACAGTAACTGCTCTCATTTAGACTGAAGCTAGGCCTGAACGTGACTTTCTGTAAGACCTATGCTTCCCAGGAAAACAGTACCTTAAAAAATCATGATGCCAGCAAGCAACCTGACCAGCAGTGTTTGCATGAAACATCCTAACACTTAAACCCAACAGGGCCCCAGAGTAGTCCATGAGCATGACGAAAACTTTTATGAGAAAATACTTATACGACTCTCCTCCCATGGTGCAGCCCTAAACCAATGTGTCCATTGCTTAATGAATAAGAAACATACAGCAACCCACAGATTTGTAAAATAACACTTTCTATGGTGGTGATGGGGGTGGTGACCTGCCTAGGGTCATCAATATACTTGATTTTAACAATACGACTAGGAGTAGAAGCCACGGCCACAGGTGCCAAGGCAAGTCACAAACTTCTAGAACCCACAGGATCACACCTACCAGTGAAAACACACTGAAACAGCAGAGCCTTCCATCAGCTACAAGGAGGCATGGGGAAGTTTTAAACTTAAAGATTTAATTTTTTTAAAATGTGTGTGTTCCATAGGTGCAGTTGCCCATGGAGGCCAATAGAGGGCGCTGAATCTCCTTGGGCTGTAGTCACACAGAGTAGTATGTTTCTCTGATGTGGGTGCTAGGAACTGAACTCTGGGCCTCTGGAAAAACAGTGTGTACCCTCAACCTCTGAGCTGTCTCTGCAGTTTCAGGAAGTTTTAAACTGAACAAGTTAATTTTGACAATACTATTAAACTACTAGGAAACAGGGATAAATATCTTAATATATATCACAAAATGCTTCTGAAAATTCTTTTGACATCAATACTCTTTCTCTCTGATATGTGCTGTGTCCATCTCAACTTTATGAAATCTTTTAGGCAGTCATGAACAGTAAGTGATAAAAGACTGAAAAGTAATTGTGACTGGTAGGGGCACTGGCTGCCAAGCCTGACCATTTAAACTCCACTGAAACCCACAGAGAATGAGAACCTACCTGGAAGCTATTCTCTGACCCCCCCATATTCAACCTCTCCCCCAACACACATAATCAATAAGTATAATTTAAAAAGAGACTTAGAAGCTTCAAAACTTATAATATATGTTATAAAATGTCCAGTTACATGTACAGCATACTAACAGATTATACTTGAAGTTGGCTTTTTATATTAAAAAACATGAAAATATTATTACTTCTTTTCTCAGAGGTGTCCACTGGCCATCTAGGACTTTTCTGTGGTTATATTCTTTCTTGATCAACACTCTCCTTGATTTTGTGGAGTGTATGTGTGTGTGCGTGCGTGCGTGCGAGTGTGTGTGTGTATGTGTGTGTGTGACAGTCACAATCAAATGGCAGATCTAGGCAAACTCATTTCAAATTTCATAGCAAATAGGCTCCTCAAAGCTCAGAGTAGACCACTTTATCAACTACCAGACATTGAAACTTGTCAAGAGGCTTCAGCTGACATGAAGTACAATTTACTAATCCCAACATCACAGACAATCACCCGGATAAAATCCAGTAAATCAGCCTAAAAGCCAGTAAATCAGCCAATTCTGAATCAGGAAAAACAAAACAAAACAAAACAAAAAACAAAAAAACCCAACCTAAATAACCATTCTTCTCATACAGGTCTGACATGTTGAAGGTAAAAAAAAAAAAAAAAAAAAGAACAACAACAACAAAAAAAACAGAAACAAAAACCAAACCAACCAACTAAGCAACAACAATAAAAACCCCATACCAAATCAACAACAGTAATAGCAGCAACAAAAACCCAGCAACAAACATTCTGGTTAAGTGGAAGAAGCCCGAGATAAATAATAATATTAGTTACGCATGGAAATCCAAGCCTTTAATCCTCATCCCATTCATCATCCTAGAAGAACAGTGGTCGACAGTTCCCTATACGTTTGATACCACTGACTATGTCAGTAGCAAGAGCATAGAACCCTGTAATTCACTTTTGGTCTACAAGCGGACCATCAGCTCTGATTCAGGGCAGCTAGGGGAAAGGCGAGTTTGTAGTTAATAATATAGAACCTCTTCTGAAGACAAGAGACCTGAAAACTGGGTGATCACCCAAAGCTCGAACTAGCAGCCCCTCATACCAGGCTCACACTGGGCAATCACCCAGGGCTCCCACTGACAGCCCCTCCCACTGGGCTCACCGATCTTTACAAGACAAGTCTGCAGACAGTTGTTCACTTACAGCATTCACTATGCTCTGCTCCCAGGAAGCCTCCCTGAGACTTCACCATGGAAACTTCCTTCAGCAGCTGGGCCACCTAGGCTCTGGTGTTGTCTTTCTTTCTTTCACAGAGAGGTTAGAAATACCTGGCATGAGGACAACCCAGAAAGAAAAGAAATGATAAGTACATCTAACCAATCACATCTTTCAACAATCCAGTCATCTGGTCAACCAAAGTTATAATCCAACGAAGACTATTTACCAGGACCTGTTTTAGTTAGTTAGTTTGTGTGGTATTTTTCATTTCTTTGTTTAAGTTACTATATGACATAACCGACATTTTTTTTTTTTTTTTTTTTTGCTTACTCTTTTTCCCTCTCCCATGAAGTTGAAGCCAATTCTAGGAAACTTCAAACCTAACCCCAGGTGAGATACAAACTTGCTCAAAGGAAGCCACTGTTTGCTTGAGTGTGTTGTGTGTGCCTGTAATCCTAGCAAAGGGGACGCAGAAGCAGGAGAGCTAAGTCAGCCTGGGCTATAGGAGACCCTTTCTCAAAAACACCAAAGCCAGCAAGGAGGGTGGGGGGGGAGTCAGAAGAAGAGAAAAAAAATGTTAGAGGTATATATAGGTCAGAGGTATAACACTTGCATAGCACCCCTGAGTTCCTGGGCCTAATCCCCAGCACTGGAAAAACAAACAGGATCCCCAAGTAAGTCACTTGACTTAACTCTCAGGAAGAGGAAGCAAAGACTACAATCTTTGGCCATTTTCATACCTCCCAGCAGACTGGGAAGATCAATAAGTGCTCTTGAGAAGCACTCGAAGTTCCCCAGAAGACAGACACTATGTCAACAGAAGGTGTTATTATTGGTCACGGCCTGCTACTGAGCTCTCTGAGCCAGAGTATAAAACCTAGCTTTGGATGAGCACCAAGCATCAGGCCCTCCCTGGGGCACTCAAACATCCGCACAACCCCTGTGCCGCTGCAGTGCAGGAGGAAAGAACAGAATCGGAGATTCCTGGAATCTCCAGGAGAAATTTAAGAACAGAAAGGAAAGTGTAGGGCTGGAAACTAAAGCTGGAAAGTGCACAAGGCACACTACAGAGCCAGGCAGGAGGGTGGTGATTTGGGCCACAGCAAAGGGCTGTCTTCAATTGCAGATTCACGGTGTTCCTTGTGTCCACACTCCACAGGGCTGTGAAAGTTTCCACTTGCCTCTCTGCCACGTCTCCCCAGTGACTATAACAGTCACATACACAAAGGTGGTACAAGGAGATTCTTCCTGGGAAAAGGACTGGATCCAGCTGGCTAGTAGCTTTAATACAAAGACCTGCTTACAGCCTGGTAGAGAATGCTCTACATCTGGATTTCATGTTTTCACCTTCTTTCTGGCAGACCCACGGGAAGAATCGCTTCCAGGCCAGTATTATCAAACTATTTTGACTTCTGCACTGGGAGGAACAACAGTAAAGGGAGATGAATGGACATGCACCAGTGGCTTTGGGGGACAATGGAGGCATAGGGTTACCAGCTCCAGTCAGTTTCTTGCTTTCTTTTTTTTTTTCTTCCAGTGTCATGAGCATAACTTGGGACTTGCAGTTTTAGCATTGTGGATATGGGAAGAGTGATTTCCAAGAGGAAAAAACAAAGTATCTCTCTCAAATAATAATAAAAATAGCAGTGATGATAGGATGATGATATGATGATGGTGACGATGGTGGTGGTGGAGGAGGGGGAGAAAGAAGGAGGAGGAGGAGAAGCAGAAGGAGGAGGAAGAAAAGGAGGAGGAGGAAGAGAAGGAGGAGGAAGAGGAGGAGGAGGAGGAAGAGGAGGAGGAGGAGGAGAAGGAGGAGGAGAAGAAAGAGGAGGAGAAAGAGGAGGAGGAGGAGGAGGAGGAGGAAGAGGAGGAGG